TTCTAGACCTGGAAGACCTCCTAAGAGGACTCAAAGTGTCACCTCCCCAGAGAACTCTCATATCATGCCACATTCTGTCCCTGGCCTCATGTCTCCTGGGATAATCCCACCAACAGGTAAGAGTGCTACTTATTTATTCTGAAAATATGAAAAGGAGCCAGTGCCATCGATTTTATGCATGGTTATATTTGCATGGATATTTACACCTATCAGTTGTGTTCTGTGCACACTCAGATGCTACTGACCAGACTTGAAAAAATGTCATGATTATCATTTATTTATTGAAAATAGTAGAAATATAATTAAGCGAAGAGCAAGGATTTGTTTTTATACTCCTCTCAGAAATACCAAACAATAAATCATTATCCTCATTGTTCTCATTAAGGAACCAAACCATAGGGAAAATCAGTGACTTCCTCAGGATCAATCAGGTGGGATAGATAATGGTCTACCAACTAGGATTTTCTCATTCTCTAAAAATACCAAGTAGGTTGAAATAAATCTAAAGAGAGTCAATACAGTCAACATAATTTTTTTCTAACTTTTCTAGAACATATTAATAGTGCTGAACTGGGGGGGCAGGTTGTGATGGTTTATTATTTGGGTTAATACACTAAGTTTGTATACCCTAAGTTTAATACACCAAGTTTGTATTAGTGAGCTAGGTATGTAGCTCATTAGAGCACTTTCCATGCCTATAGAGAGGTACTAGCTTCAATTTATGGTAATATAAAATATGCCATCAAGAAAAGTCTAAAGTCGGTTAATATCGTTTAGAGTTGAAACACCTGTTTTTCGAACAAACAAAACAACCATATAAATCTCAAAAAAGGAAAAGATAAATGTAAACAATCCCAGCTAAGATATTATAATTAATTTTATAATTCATTATTATAACTGGTATTGAATTACTAATATTGAATTACTTCTAAGATTGAAACGAAATATTTCTATGAACACTGACCAGTGCTGCCCTTGTATTCCATTTTAACATGTGAAAAGCATAAAAGACATGAGTTTATCTTTCAACTAGTCAAAATTGGTTCTGTGTAATGATTATTAGTTTTGGAAAATATAAAAATTCGATTATTTTTCATCTATATTCAATAATTTAACATTAAAGTGAGTAACATTTCCTGAGGTTTCTACATTCTCAGAAAAATGATAATTCTTATACTTAAATAATTTTCCTGCCTTTATCATATGGGTAGGTACCTATAGTAAAATAAAAACATATTGAGCTCGCTTATCAAGTTTTTGTTTTTAAGTTTGGCTGCCTGATTGGGCTTTTGTGTAACCTTAGGAGGGGGTGTGGGCAGATGGTGATAATTTCCAAAATTTATGGTTGTCACTGGCTTCCATGACAACCAAAAGTGGAAGTTAATGAAAGAAAGAAGGCTCTTTGTAGAGACTTACAACACAATACCTCCTGTAGTGTTCTCTACATTTATTTGGACTGAGTACATGTCATAAATCATTTTTGATAATAAGTACCAGTTTAGAATAAATTCATCCTAGCAACAGAGTTTCAATCACATCCTACTTTCTGAGAATCATGTACACTTTACAATTAAGAAAAGAGTTATGTAAAAATCCTAAACATTCCCCTCTGTGCCAGGAGTGCAATTTGGATGATGCATTTGCCAACTTCCTCATCTTTAGGGCAGAAATAAAACCACTGATTTTGAAGTGGAATTTTCATATACATATTAAGAAATAACACCGTGAGTTCCAATATGTACAGTTAGCATTAAAAATAGTTATTAGATATCTATCCTTTTCAAATACCCTCATATTCAATGAATGCATGTTTTATAGTTCAGTTTCTTGGAGGTATCTTTTCTCTCATTGTGACCTTATAGGCACATAAATAATCTGCATTCTATACAAAGAAGGCAATTGTATACACATATGAACATACACCCTATGACTGAAGTAAAGAATTTATCATTTTAACATTTTAGTAAACAAGTGTTAGACCAGTGCAATACTAATACAAAATTAATCTCATCTAGGCATGTTTACCTAAAAATATTGTAAGAATGTACTCAATTGAGGATTTGTAACTCAAAACCATGTTTTCAGTGCTTATATTCATTATTTCTTTTTGCTTACTGCTACTCTCTAACCTGCCACCACATCCAAACGACCTCTTTTTGACATAATACCATCTGTAATATTTTAAGCTTATAAAATTTCAAAATCAAAGGAGAAAATTTACGATGTAGAAATATGCCTAGCATGTTGGGAAGTTTATTATAACAAATGCATATTATCTCCTGGGGAAACTCAGAATTAAGGACAACATGAAAATGCACAAGTAAAAGGCCATTAGTAAATCGATCACTTAATATGTTAAATGTAGCAGCCTATTGAATGCCTTATGCAAAGAGTAAGTCTGACATAAACAATTTAGACCTTTTACGTTTGTGTAGTTTGTATACAAATGAATTTTAATGCATTAATTGTAAAGATCGTCTGTGGTGGTTAGTCACTAGGTAGATAAAATGGAACATACGTATATAATGCATATTTCCTTCATATATCTTGAAAAAATGGAGCGTGAAATTATTTTCCTTTGAGCAAGTCTGTCTTGAAATTAGAATTCTCTGTACAACTTATCTAGGATTTTTTTTCCAAGATAAGTTTTTATTTAAAGACGTTTACTTGGAGAGGTGTGAGAATGGGAACCCTATCGCTTTCTGTTGATATTATAACAAATGCCCTCAAACTTGATGACTTAAATAAATGAAAATTTATTCTCAAAGTTTGGGGACGAGTATAAAAAGAGTAACATGAGGTGAAAATCAAGCTGTCAGGTCACAATATTAATTCTTTTTCTCCTTGAACTTTTGGTAACTACTCACCTTCCTCAGTGTGTGGCTGTCTCTAAATTTCTGCACTGGTGTGTGTGTGTGTGTGTGTGTGTGTGTGTGTGTGTGTGTGCGCGCGCGCTTGCGCATGTCTGCACGTGGGCGCACTCATGCACAAAGCATTTCAATGGCAAAGACATATACTATGTCTCTAGGGAAGGTCCTTTCTTGCATGCTGCCAGCAAAGATTTGATCTCTGGCACCACACATGGCCCCTAATGTCTCTGCATCTATGGAGTAGACCCAATAAGCAAAACACCAATAAAATAATAATAGTCATGAATATCTTTATCTGCCTCTCATGTAAGTATACTTAATTGTGTTTTTCGCCCCAACAGATCAATAATGACCATATTTCCGCCATGACGTTTAAAAAACGTAATAATATTCACAAAGAATCTTCCCATATAATAGCTTCCACATTTCTCATTATCACCATACCACTCCCAACAAGCCAGTGGGATTTTGTAAGAAATCCAAGCTTGGGGTTGAAGATATTCATACACATATAGTTGTGGGAGAGATTCTGTTCAATTTGATTCACTATGCTGTCCTATTATGTAGAATATTATCTGGCTCTGAGTAGACATAATAACATAATAATAACATAATAATTTGTTCAATGTATATATCTAATTTAGGTTTAGTAAAGGAATTCTGAGTTAAATAAGTATGCTTCAGAGCTGCAAATTAAAACACTGGTGTTTTACAGATTCTAAAATTGTACTAACATATTTTGCATCCAGGTTTTAAAATTCAATCTAGGGTCAAAAATAAGTGGAGCAAAATTCCTGGTACTAATCTCAGCCATTCCTGGGTGTTAGTCCCATTTTGTTGCTTTATGTTCCCCAGATGAATGCAATTTTTCTGTGTCTATCCCTCTGTTTCTGACTCATTTTGCTTAACATGATACTTTCCATGTAGTACCACTTGTATGTAAATTTCATAACTTCATCTTTTCTAATAGCTACATAGTACTCCACTGTGTAAATGTACCAAAGTTTCTTTAACCAGTCATCTGTTCTCGGGCACTCAGGTTTTTTCCAGATTCTGGCTATTGTAAAGAGTGCGGCAATGAACAAACAATTGCAGATGTCACTTCAACTATACTTTTTTGTCTCTCTGGGATATATTCCCAGGGGTGCTATTGCTGGGTCAAATGGGAGATCGCCATGACTTGGAGGGCAGCCACACGTGCTAGTGGAAAAGGAAGCTCAGATAGAGAAGAGAGCACCAAATAAAGGGTGTTGTGAGGACCTCCCAGGGTAGGAGAAGCATGCTGAAAGTAGACCAAACATGATTGCCACTCAATGCCTCTCTTGCAAAACACAGTACCCAAAAGAAGAGAGAGAGAACAAGGGAGAATGCCCTGCCACAGAGGCAGGGTGGGACGGGGGGATGGGGTGTGGGAGGGATGCTGGGACCCGTGGTGGTGGAGGATGGGCACTGGTAGAGGGATGGGTACTTGATCATTGTATAACTGAAACCCAAGCACAAAAATGTATAAGTCTATAACTGTACCTCGTTGTGTTTCACTAATTAAAAAATAAAATACAAAAAAATAAGAGGAAGGCATTATTTTTTGTCTGCAGGTTGTAATGACTGTGTATAAAGTTATTACAGACTCATTGATTCTTTAATGAAGCAATGTTTGCAAGATGGAAAGGAAAGATAGAATGCTTTAGTCTTTGTTGTTTTGAACACATCCAGCTGTTCTCTGTGTAAATTCTTGGCTCTGTGGTCAGAGGATCATAGATGGCACAAGCATAGATCAGTGAATTCAAAGTTAGTGCCTTACCCACTGTACTATGTTTCTGGCCCTGAATGCTTTAGTACATGCAATTCCTGGATAGACATATCACCATATTTTGCATTATGTAGTATTAAGAATTATATTTCTAATTTTAATTACAGTTGCTTGATATGTAAATCATCTAATACATATGTGGAAATATATACATTTATATTGATTATACTCAAACTCAAGTCAAGTAACAATATATTAAGCCTGTTTCTAATGTGGAGATTCATTTAAACTACTTTTCTTAGATAGTAGAGCAAAGATTTGTTATTTTTTGACTTAATTAAATAACTGCATATTTTTGAGTACTAGAATTCTATACTTCTTTATAAAATAATTATAAATTTTTACTTCCTAATTTATTTCTCTTCTCTAGATTTCTTCAGTAGTCTCATATGACTAAATTGTGCCCCGCTAAAGTTATAATTTATTTATATTACTT